GTAGAACAAAAAAAATAAAGAACAAAAAAAAAATAAAAACAAAAATACACAAAATTTGTCATAATCTAACAAAAAAAACGAATTAGTTTTTTGTTAAAAAAAAAAAAATTAGATATCAAAAATTTTAATAAAATTATTCATCAATAAAAAATGAGTCTAATTTTGTTTGTTTAGAATTATTTTTCACCAGATAAGCAAGCTCTTTTCGCATTCGCTTAAGTTCTGAAAAAACTTTAATATCAATCTCAAGACTTGACACTGGTTGTTCGATATAGTCTAATACTAAATCCAGTCCTGTAATAGCTTGAATTGCTGTAACAGGTTTAATTTGCTACTCTGATTCTTCTTCAGGTTCATTTTTTTGCATCTCTGCTATAATGTCTTTAACCATAGGTATTTCACTTGTATAATTGTTTTCAATTTCAATAAATTCACATATAGAAATATTTAAATATTCAGGGTTTTTGGGATTTTTTGAATTTTGAAATCATGTAATAAGATTTTCTAACTCTATTTCATCTTCATTAGTTAGATCGACAAGAAATTCTGAATCCATATATTCATCAATTTCCGTAGAAGGAAGAATACCTGTTTTTTGCCACAAATGAATAATTACATCTTCAGAAACTTTATTCCAAGCTTGTAAAACAAATTGAATTGCATCATAAATTGTAACAGAATCTGGAGGTTGATTAGTAAGGTTTGATTCATCAAATACGGCAATTTGGTTTTGTAATAATAACTTATGATAATAACACTATAAGTGACTCATTTGCAGATTTGTATAACAAATATTATTGTTATTGTAATTATATGAATATTAACTTAAGTAAAAGATATACAATAACTTTAAATGAGTAGATTATGCCTGCATCACATAGTTGTAACCATGTAGTAGTAAGTTTTGAAAAAAAAACTACTTTAATATTACTGAAGTTTAAACCTACAATAGTTTAACAATAAAGATATTAATAAAGATAAAGATGCAATTAAACGATAGGCCTTTCTAAAGTTAATTTTTATATATTATTCAGCAATTGACTCTATAAATGGTTAGTTACAAGCTAATTATGTTAATGATTTACTATTTAATTGCTTTAAAGAGTAATACCCTAAATTAGCATAATCAATATTAGAAAGGCCTAATATTAAAAAAAAAAAAAAACCTGTAATTGAGTATGCAAAACAATTATCTATAAGTAAAAAAATTTTTTGATGAACACAACGCATGCGATGATCCAGGTTAGATATCCAGTTTTGAAAAATTGAAGTTTGCATCCATACTTTTTTGTTCCAATAATATTGAACAGGCAAAGATGATTTTTTTATTCCTCTTAGTGAGTGTGGATTTTGAAATTGATAAATAAAAAGTGGAGGTAATTTATCACCAACTGCATTACATGTTAATATTACAGTTACATGATTTTTTGGCTTTTTAACTCCTAAAATACGACTATGTGTAAGTGATTTTGAAGATTCTAAAAGCCAATAAAGTGCCATTTCATCACAATTATAAATATCTACTAGATCATAATTTGATGTTTCATTTTGTAAAGATTGATGAAATTCAGGTAATTTTTCAATAGGGGCACTAGCGGCTTCTCCACAATGTGTAGTACAAACAATATAATATCATTTTTTGAAACCCTGCAACCAACCATCAGATGTAGCAAAATTTTGAATTTTTAAAGTTGCTGCAACCTGTTTAGCCTTTTCTTGTAAAATTAACACTGTAATTGTTAAAT